CAAAGTTAAGTGTTCTCCACTGTCGCCAGCAGCCTCTGTATTCTGCCTTGACTTCACAAAGCATTAAATCCAATTTTCTCACTGAACAGCTCTAACAATGCTAGCTAGAACACCTCCAAGGGACATGGCTCCCTGATTCAGCTGCCCCTTGCTACTCAACCAGCCTTCTTGCTATCAAGGTGGAATATTTTATTTCCTTGAGTGTGGTGCATTGCCATCTGCCTGTTAGTCTTCTGACTGGCAGCTGGAATTGCTTGCCTCTAAGTGAAAGCAATGACGGTGCATTGATAAGAGTCAATAGACTAGAAGCAGTTTGACATCTTCCAACAATGTTCAGTGTGTCCAGAAAGGAAAGTGTGGTTTCAGGAAAGAATAACAGAACACTATAGAGTTGGAAGGGACTTTGAAAGCCTTCTAGTCCAATCCCCTGCTCCAGCAGGAAACTCTATACCATTCTGGACAACTGGCTGTCCGGTCTATTCTTAGAAACCACCAATGATGGAGCACCCACAAGGTCTGGAGCAGTCGTGAAATCCAATTTTTTTTTATTACCGGTTCTGTGGGCATGGCTTGGTGGGCGTGATATGGTGTGGCTTGGTGGGCATGGCAGGGGAAGGATACTGCAAAATCTCCATTCCCTCCCCACTCCTGGGGGATGGATATTGCAAAATCTCCATTCCCACCCCACTCTGGGGCAAGTCAGAGGTGGTATTTGCCGGTTCTCCAAACTGCTCAAAATTTCCGCTACCGGTTCTCCAGAACCTGTCAGAACCTGCTCGATTTCACCCCTGGTCTGGAGGCAAAGTTGTTCTCTTGCTTAATTGTTCTAACTGTCAAGAAATTTTAATGGGGATTTTGCAGTATCCTTTCCCCAGGAGTGGGGAGGGAATGGAGATTTTGCAGTATCCTTCCCCTGCCACACCCACCAAGCCACACCATGCCCCCAAGCCACGCCCACAGAACCGGTAGTAAAAAAAAATGGATTTCACCACTGGAAAGAGGATAAAATAGAAATGCATTTATATTTTTTTTTCTTCGATTTCTATTCACTGATTTCTTTTCCCTTCCTTTTTCTTTAAATTTACATTATTTTTTTCCCTTTGTTAGAACCTTCTTTACTAAAAAAGATTAATTGGAAAATTATGTAGGAACATGACTTCAACTGGAATTAGCTTAGCAACAAGGACACTGACATATTAAAAAAAAATACAAAGATGTTTCACAATTTAGGAAGAGAGTAATAATGTTGGCTCAGGTAATAATGTTTATAATTGACAAACATAAGCATGAATTATGAAGTGATAATTAGATTTTTTTAAAAAGGAAGAAAGAACATATATAGGAAACAAATTGGCTCTTTGAAATGGAAAGCTCCTTCCTTCAGATTTTATAGGCAATTAGTTTTATAAATCTTGGCAGAGAAATGCAATTTGATAGGCGAATGGTATGTGAGCATACTGCTCTAGCTTGTTGAAACGTGAAATAGATGATGTTTTAGTAAAACAAGGAAGGAAATGCCCTCCCTGCTACAAGAAGTAATTTGAAATAAATATTAGGCTTCTAAAACCCGAGGAGACACAAACCCTAAACACCAGACACTAAAAAAACAAATAAATCTCTAACTCTGGCCACCGATAAGCTAATGGCTTACCGGTAGCTAAAACAATTACTTTAGCGGTTTTTTAAAATATTCAGAGCAATAGGTCACATTTCACTTTTAAAAAGGGGATAGATAGCTGTAAAAAAACAGAAGGAAAGTATTAATAATGAAGAAACGTAGCCTTTAGAAAGTTCCAGTTGGTTAAGTTTGCAATAAATCTAAAGAAAGCTGAAACATTACGGATTAACGGAGTTGGAAGGGACCTTGTAGGTCATATAGTCCAACCCCACCACCACCAGGCCCAAGCAGGAGATCCTACACCATGTCTGACAGATGGCAGTCCAGTCTCTTCTTGAAAGCTTCCAGGGATGGAGCTCCCACAACTTCTGAAGGCAACTTCTGTTCCATTGGTTGATTGTTCTCACTGTCAGAAAATTCCTCTGTATTTCCAGGTTGAATCTCTCCTTGTTCGGTTTCCATCCATTATTCCTTGTCTGGCCTTCAGGTGCTTTGGAAAATAGCTTGACCCCTCTCCTCTCTGTGGCAGCCCCTCAAATATTGGAAGACTGCTATCCTGTCTCCCCTGGTCCTTCTCTTCACTAGACTAACCAGGCCAGTTCCTGCAACCGTTCGTCGTATGTTTTAGCCTCCAGTCCCCTCATCACCCTGCTTGCTCTTCTCTGCCGTTTTTAGTTTCTAGTTCTTTGAAGTTCTCCAGGTGGAATGTGGATTCTGACAAGGACTGGTTCAACCCAACGGAAGACAAAAGGCTGTACAAAAAATTGAACTTCTGGAACTTGAAAACTCATAATAACACACACACAAAAAAACCCCATAGTACTGAATATGAAATTGAGCATTAGCACAATCCTGCTCCAGAGTATTATGAGATGCTATGAAATGTTACATAGTGCATATAAAGCTGATGCGGAACGTGTGTGCCTTATCACAGATGACTCTAATGATGCTAACCAACGAAAGAACTCATTCCAATCCAAACCCAATATAGTAGTGGCCAAAATTGTGGAAACCTTTTGGGAAAAGTGTATTTTTGAGGTTTAATGGCTAATAACACCACTTTTTGGGGGAAGTTTCAAGATCATCCTATTCCACTGCTGGAAAGGCCTGGGAATAGCCCAGACCTTCACCCAATTGAAAATCTATGGAGCCGACTAAAGAAACTTGCTAGTCGGAAGCGACCCAGCAATTAAACCCAGTTAAATGACTAAGTGAGCCTGGGTCACAACAAGGCTGCCTCTCCGCATATCTCTGTTCTTCTGGGACAAAGTCGACTTTTTTTAAAAAAATCCATCCTCGTGGGACCCAGGTGGTTGAGAAAATGATTTATAAGCCTTCAGATACGAAAGATTGAAAGCCACGGCGTGAGAGTGCAAGAATCTTTCAGAACAAGCCACATTCATCCATAATAATTTGGAGTAGCTTTGGGCAACCGGGCTCTGTCAAAGAGTTGCCGAAAACCTCAACCCTGCGCATGGATTTGACTGCACGTGCAACCACGTTTAACCTTTCGGCTTAACTGCGTTGCCCACGCCAGTGTTGTGTTGCAGACTTCCTTGTTCCCCCCCCCCCCCCCCCGGAAGAGAATCGTATTTCTGAATCTGCCGAGTTATTGCGGAGATCTGTTTTGTTCAGGCTCCAAAATTAATAGCACAGACATTTGTGACGGTTGCATTTAGCAATCGGGGAATTTAAGCTGTCAAGTGAAGAGAAATTTGGGAGCACTTATACTTAACCATAAAATAATGATTTCCTGAATCTCAACAGTCCCTATAGTAAAAAAAACCAAACAAATAAATCAAAACCCCAAATCACTAGTAATTTGAAGTAAATTAAAGCAGATTTCTTCCATCATCAACTGCTAATTTAGGGTGTGCTTTGAATGTTTAGCCTGCTTGGTATCTATCAATGGATTAATGATTGTCAGTATTTCAATCAATCAATCAATCAGAATAGAGCTGGAAGGGATCTTGGAGGCCTTCTAGTCCAACCCCTTGCTTAAGCAGGAGACCCTATGCCCGTGATGGCGAACCTATGGCACGCATGCCACAGGTGTCATGCGTAGCCATATCGGTGGGCACACGAGCTCAGCTCCAATGCGCATGCTCAAGCAAAGAGGACAACTCAGGAGTACCGCCAAGAGATGATTGGCTCCTCCCATACGGCTTAAAACAGACCAGCAACGGTGTTTGGGCTTTGCCAGAAAACAACGTTGATAGCTTCGTCTTCTTCTTCGTCTACCTCTTGTATTTATTTTTGTATCTGTGACTTCTGAACGTTTGCCAAGAAAGGCCTTTGGCAATTTGCCTAATTGGACCAAGGTTTGCGATAGGACTGAGGAATTTGTGTTGGGAGGAATTTGCTTTAATTTAGTTGAACGACGCTGGGAATGAAGTAATTCTCAGCTGTTTGAATAAAGTTTGTTTGTTTTTTCATTGACTGTTTTTCCTATTACTTACTTGGGCCTGGGTCACAACAACGTGTTTGATTTTGCATACTGTGTGAATGTGTATCTCTTAGGAGTCACTTCATCTCTTTGAATCAGATAACCGGACAGTAACTTGGTTCCTGAAACCACGGTTTTAAAATCTTGCATTGATTTCAAGAAGATTATTTTGGAATTTTTTTTTTTTTAATTTGATTTATATGCCGCCCTTGTCCGGAGACTCAGGGCGGCTTACAGTGCGTTAAGCAATAGCCTTCATACTTTTGTATATTTTATACAAAGTCAGCTTATTGCCCCCACAAACTGGGTCCTCAATTTACCTACTTTAGAAAGGATGGAAGGCTGAGTCAACCTTGAGCCTTGGTGAGATTCGAACCTGCAGTAATTGCAGGCATCTGGTCTTAATAACCAGCTTAATAACAGGGTGCCTTAGACCACTGTACTGCCAAGGCTTACGAGGGCAAGCTCCCGCGAGATGGGGATCATTGAGTCCATTGTTGCTGAAATGTACCTTTTCATGATAGTATCAAGAATGAATGTGTGCTATATAGATCCTTCACTGGCCTTATTCCCAAATAGGATGAAATATCATGTATGTCACATATTTTCTTTCTGGTTTTGATAAGGTAGTAACGATATATACACTAAATATCTTACTGTAGCTTTTACATTCCATTCCTTCTATTCTATTCTATTCTATTCTATTCTATTCTATTCTATTCTACTCTACTCTACTCTACTCTACTCTACTCTACTCTACTCCACTCCACTCCACTCCACTCCACTCCACTCCACTCCACTCCACTCCACTCCATTCCATTCCATTCCATTCCATTCAAAATGTTGCCGGATTGGTATCCTTTTCCATTTAAGTTCTCGATCTAGTACCCTGGTTTTGGAGAAAACCAACTGATCCCGTCTCTCTGTTTCCGACAGCTATATATCAGGATAAAAGACGACGAGTGGAATGTTTATCGACGATACACGGAATTCAGAGGGCTTCACCACAAGTTGCAGATGAGGTATCACCAAGTGCGAAGTTTTAACTTCCCGCCCAAGAAAGCCATAGGAAACAAGGTAATTGTCGGGTGCCCGAGAACCAAGAAATCAGGTAGAATCAGGTTTAGGAGCAGTTTCCTGTCATCGCTGCTCACCTACGGCCAGACCTCTTGCCAAACAAACTAAAGAGCAAACGTTTGACTTGCATTATTAAAAAGATATTCTGAGAATTGCTTAGGGAGGGAACCTTGCTTTGATAGAGGAAGTATCAACCGATATGAAAGAATGGATCAGGAAAATAGCATTTATGTAAGCCAAATATCCAGGGGTGGGCTTCAAAAATTTTAGCAAGGGGTTCTCTGCCCGGTTGCTGGGTGGGCGTGGCCATGGTGGGCGTGGCCTCATGGGCCTCCTGCACCAACAGGGTGTGTGTTTTTGTCCACCCCAGCTCCGGAGGCTTTTCTCGAGCCTCCAGGAGGGCGAAAATGGCCTCCCCAGGCTCCGGAGGCCCTCTGGAGGCCGTTCCCGAACTTCCGGTAGGCCCGTTAATTCGCCCTCCCCAAGCCTCCGCAACATAGGTTTGCCATCACGAGCTTAGGGTTTCCTGTCTGAGCAGGGGGCTGGACTAGAAGACCTCCAAGGTCCCTTCCAACTCTGTTATTCTGTTTCTGTTATCCTTCCTTTTCTTCATACCCACCTCAGCCCGTGCCACAAACGCGAGAGGATTCTTTGCCACCTGTCTAAATGTTCAACCTCTCCCATTTCTGAATGTCCTTTATCACTTTCAGCTCAGGCGTAACTTTTTTTTCCCCCACAGATGCTGCATCTTTATAAAAACTCTCCTCGGCAGCTTTCCTCGTCTCATTAGTTCTTATTAGGAGATCATTTTCACACTTTTCCTGCAAGGCTCCCCACCCCCCACCCCCCCCAAAAAATTTCTTTTTTTTTTTTTTTTTTGCTCTTTGATTCTAAGGGCCATTAAAAAGGATTTTTTAATATATATATATATATATATAAATTGTGATTCGTATTTGTAATCCACAGCCAGATGAATGTTTTTCTTTTTGAAACAGTCCAAACTTGTAGAAAGCTGAGAGTTACAGAAAGAAGCTGGATAAATTCGCCTGATCCGGTAGAGATTGCGGCGGGTGGTTCAGAGAACCGGTAGCAAAAATCCCTCCTCCCCCATGTCCAGTTGAGTCGCGCGATCATCAGAGGCTTTTTTAAAAAAATTTTTAAAGGCATATTTTTCTACAACCTCTTCGGCTGAAAAAATGGTTTTAATAGTAAAAAAAAACTTCTGATGATTGCGCAGCTCAGCTGGGATCGTCAGAGGCTTTTAAAAGAAAAAAAAAGCCTCTGACGATCAGGCAACTCAGCTGGGATCGTCAGAGGCTTTTAAAGCAATTTTTAAAATAACTTCTTCGGTTGAAGAGGTTGTAGAAAAAACGCTTTTAAAAGTTTTTAAAAAAGTTGGCCATGCCCACTCAGTCACATTACCCCCCACCAAACCACGCCCACAGAACCGGTAGTAACAAATTTTACATTTCGCCACTGGATAAATACCCAGATAGTCCTCATCTTACAACCGTCCGTCTAGTGACTGTTCGAATTTACAATGGCACTGGAGTGACAGGGGGCTGCTTTTGTGGGGAAAGAGGAGGAATATAACTGTGTGGGTCCTTGGTGCTCTCTGAGCTTTGTTGTCTGGTTGCAGACGTTTCATTACCAAACAATGTAACATCATCAGTGCTAGAAGAGAGATGGGTTTGCTTCCTGTTTATATGCTCCCTGTCAAGGGAGGCCACTTGAATATAAAAAAGAAAGCAAACCCCTTTTCCTTCTAGAACTGATGATGTTCTAGAACCACCAAGCTCAGAGAGCACTAAAAACCACTTCTGTTTATTTTATTTATTTATTTATTATTAAATTTCTATACCGCCCTTCTCCCTGAGGACTCAGGGCGGTGTACAGCCAAAATTAAAAAACATGCAGTACAAATATTAAAAAAACAATTAAAAGATATATAAATTTGGCCCAATTAAAACTCACTACCAATTAAAACATTTAAAAATTTCTTCTTAAGCCAGCAGAGTCGGACAATAAGGAGGTTGTTACAGTGCTTCTTGCTTTTCTTAAAGGGGGAAAGGTTGGCTCGAGCCTCTTGGCACTGTTTTTCGGAGGTTCCTGGTGCTGTGAGATTTTTGGCACTGTCCTTTTGGGGTGTACTTCTCACAACCGAACATTGGGCCTTCTCAGCAGGGTAATTTAGAAGGAATTTATCAGCCCTGCTGTTCGGAGTCAGGCTGCGGATATTTACGCCTTGCACATTGCCATCAAGCCGATGTCGCGAAGGGAAGAACAGCCTGTTAGAACAATGCCCTGTGTGCATCTGAATATATTCTTAGCATGTGAACAAAAAGAAAAAAAAGCACCTCAAAACTATTACATCTCCGGTCTGCTAAATCAGAGGCATAAAATATTGTTAATACGGTGCAAGCTTGAGTACTCAGTGGCTTTATTAAGGCAATGCTACTCCTGAAAGTATTTGCTTGATATCTAAGCCTTTATTTATTTAAAATGTAGGGTTTCCCTGACAATTTTTTTTATAACTTCCCAGTCCAACTTGGAAAGGAATTTATCTAGTGGAACCTGTCCAGGGTATTTGGGTGTTTAGAGAAGACCTTAATGATGCTTCATTATGAATTTCATTTATGAAGAACCAGAGCCTTATGGATGGAGGATAACTTCCCCGGGCAATTCTTTTGCCGCAGCTGATCTTTGGGGACTGCTGAGATTGTAGGAAACATTACCTACATCCAGTTTTGGTCACCACACTATAAAAAATGATGTTGAGACTCTAGAAAAAGTACAGAGAAGAGCAACCAAGATGATTAGGGGATCGGAGGCTGAACGGTTGCAGGAACTGGGCATGGCTAGTCTAGTGAAGAGAAGGACCAGGGGAGACATGAGAGCAGTCTTCCAGTATCTGAGGGGCTGCCACAGAGAGGAAGGGGGTCAAGCTATTTTCCAAAGCAGCCGAAGGCCAGACAAGGAATAATGGATGGAAATAGAACAAGGAGAGATTCAACCTGGAAATAAGGAGGAATTTTCTGACAGTGAGAACAGTCAACCCATGGAACAGAAGTTGCCTTCGGAAGTTGTGGGAGCTTCATCACTGGAGGCTTTCAAGAAGAAATTGTCAAAAATGGTGTAGGGTCTCCTGCTTGGGCAGGAGGGTTGGACTAGATGACCTACAAGATCCCTTCCAACTCTGTGAATCTGTAATCTGTAAAACCACTGTGAAAACATGGAGGTGTTATTTACACACAGCAATTCAGATGTCGGGTTCTTTCCACGGAAGCATTTCTCGACCCCATGCATTCAAGTTAACGATAATGGAATGTTATTTATTTATTTATTTTCCCCTCTCTAAAAGAAGATTGTTTCTGAAAAGCAGAGAGGCCAAGGTCTGATACTTCCACGGGCAACTCATTTTCAATTTGAAATCTGGATGTTCTGTTCAGGAAGAGCAAAGCACGAATGACGAAGTTTCTTCCTTGGCCGTTGGGCTGTTGCAATTCAGTGGCCCTGATATGAATCATTCTTTCTCCGTTGCTTTGTTAGGGAGGAAAAAGACCATCTGTAACCGTCACAGGTCAAAAGCAGCAGCAATTGCAAACAGATTTTTTATTTTTTAGGGGATTGGGGGGGAAAAAACCACCACCGTTGCAAACTTCCCCAAGGTACAAGGTTAACGAAACTTTCCAAGCGTTAATTCTTTTTTTTTCTTCTTTTTTTTGAAGTGTACAAATCAATATTTAAGGTTTTGATTTATGAATACAGTCACTTTTCCGGTCTTTTTGGCAGAGGAAAGGAAGCAATTATGAAGTTGTTGATTTATGGATTGGGGTTTTTTTGCAATCTTTGATAATAAGCAATTATTTTAATTGTTCTTCCTAGAATTTCTGTTCCCCCGCCCTTTCCCTGATCGTTTGGAAATCCAGTGAGAGTAAATAAAAAAAATAATAATATTGGAGGCTTCAAAACAAGCAAATGCAGCCCGGTGAAACTCTTATCACACTAGTGCTGACAGTAGGTTAGCTGCTTCAGAGACTTTTTCTGCGAAAATGTTTTGCGGATCGATCGTGGAATAAGAGAATAAAATGACACCGCTTATCTTGGAGGACTATCTTACCCTACTTTGTGATTTTAAATAATGAGCCGCTGATAAAAAAAAAAAAAACTTGACTAAAACTTGCTCCCGTAATATTTCCTGCAATGGAGGCTGGGAAAAAAGAAAAGAAAAGAAGAGAAAGATCAAAAGATGGGAAAGGAATTGGCAGATAATGAAGCCATGCAAAGGAAGTTTTGTAAGCGTTCTCTAGAGCCGTGATGGCGAACCTATGGCACGGGTGGCACAGGTGGCACAAGGAACCCTCTCTGCGGGCACGCGAGCTGTTGCACAGATCAGCTCCACTGTGCATGGGTGCGCGCCTCCCGCATGCACCCTGCCCCCGCGCCAGAGACCCAAAAATCAGCTGGCTGGTGGGAGGTGCGTGCACATGCGTGGTGGAGCTGAGCTGGCTGACGGCTCGTGTGCCTGCAGAGAGGGCTCCGTGTGGTATGCCACGCATACCATAGGTTCGCCATCGTGATCGTAGGCCCTGGGGAACTGGCTGACGTCGCCTTACCTCACCTTGTGTGAGGGAGCAGGCCTCCCTGAAGCCTTGTGGGACCAAAAACGGGCCGTGGGGGGTGGGGTGCGGTGTCCATCCTTCAGTGACGGTAAGATGACAAGTCATGTTTCTTTTTTTTCTTTTTTCTTTTTTTTTAATATACTTTATTGAATTTTTCCATTATAGAAGAAAATATATACAATCTCTATCTCCTTCAGAGGTACAGTGTTTATACAATTTGGTGAATCATATGTTAAATAAACTTCATCCTTAGCTGTACAATATTCTATGCAATATAAACTCGATTTCGAGTACAAAACAAGTCATATCCTAAAATCATGTTTTTATCTTGTTCTTCAACCAATTGTACCAATTTCCCCATACTTCATAATATTTAGA